CAAGCATTGATACAATTCTAATAAAGGGTGCACTCAGTTCCGAGACCAACACTGGCACCAAGTTCACTTCAGCCCTGAAAGCCATTAGGCTGGGCTAGAAAAACAGTGTTATAGGCAAGGCCAACGTCAGAAATATCTGCTCTTGCTGAAAGCAGTCTGTACTCCACCCTCCCTCTAAGGACTGGGAAAGTATAGTTTTAAAAATAAAATACTTGTGGTGGAGATATGGCATAAGAAGTTTGTGCAAAGCAAACACAAGATGAAGGTACTGCTGGTTCATAAGCCCCAGAAGGAAAGTCATCAAGTAAGGCAGAAGAAGGCTCATTTGATTCTCTCTCCCATGGCAGCCCAACAAAAGAGCCCAGAACAAGCCTAGCGTCACAATACAAATATGCAGCAAAATCATCAAGTAAATTAATCATACTGCTTCAGCACCCAATTGCAAATGAGCTAACTAATAAAAAGTAACATCAGTAGGTTACAGACAACATGAACCACTGGAAGTATCAATAACAATGCAGAGATAGCATCATTTATGAAAAAAATAGAGCACCATTTATGAAAAAAATAGTACTTTATCTTCAAAGCTGTTTTTCTTACCTGTAAAGGTGTCATTCCCAACTCATGCCCACTTCGTCCCTGTGCGATTTTGGACAAATCATTTACAAGGCGTTCAAATATATTAGCAGCGTTTAAATCACAGTCATAGTTAACATAAATATCCACTACACACTGGGCATCTTGAAAATAAAAGAAAGTGCAAGTATTAGGATTCAGTGTAATAGCATTTTTAAAAGGAATTTAAAAGCATTTTAAAAGGAGCAGGCAATGGGGACGAATCCAGACATTTAACCCAAGCACTATGGGATCAAATTCAATTTTTTATACTTAAACATTATATGCGGCATTTGTCTTCAAAATAATTTTCATCAGCTGCCACAGGAAGTGACTGCTTTTCACAACAATGGAAATACCTGCACAAATTCTAGTTAAAGTCTGAATCACCATCCATTTGTGTTCAAAGGAGCTTGAAGAAGTCTCTAGAATATTCAGGAAGATCTCTTTGAAGAACACCTGCAAAATAAATGAGCTAAAGGACTTGCTGATCTGAAACTTATTAGAACCATGTCAAATGTACAAATTCATTTCTGTTCAGTAATTTCGCTTTAAGAGTATCATCTCATGCATATTAGAATTTGAATATAGTAGTAATATACTAGTTCAGTAAGCAAATAAAACTAAGACATTAACTTCTAAGTTCCAGCTGTCTTTTTACCATAGCAGTATTTTTATTTGAGAACTAGAGCATCATACAAACAATAGATAAGAAGTCTCTCACCTCAATCTGCATTTTTAAATGGGTCTTAAAATTTGAAAGCAGCGTGAGAAAGATGGCAAGGGAGAGCTCAAATACATCAGGAACAGAAGAGACTCCATTTTTAGATAGTGCTACACAAAGATATTGCTTGATTGCATTGATGAACATTTCGTGTGTCCTGAAAACTGGACCAGCATTCTGCAGTACTGAGAGAAGAAGCTGGAGAGACACTATCTTAGAACGCAATTCATGGGATCTAGAAAAAATTCAACATTAAATATATTTTTATTGTATTTCTGAATACATACTTCTATTCAACATGAGCACTATAGCATTTCTTCCACATCAAGAAGTGACTGCTATTTTAACTCATTTCAATGTGGGGGGCAAGAGGGGTGGAAAACAGCCTGCAAGTGATTTTGGACAATAGCTACCATCTTAATTTGGAGATTTTGCAGGAGTGTTAACATCTTAGACTAGGATAATAGATGCAACTCAGTGCTACTAAGAAGCATTCCCCCACTCCTTCACAAGCTTCACAAATACTACAGTCAAGGCCACTTCAACTGATAAGAATAAACCCGTTACACAAAAAAACCCTCAAGTATTAAATTTTTAATAATTTGAAGCAAGTTTCAATCCTAGATTCACCAAGCTAACTGAAACAAGGGCCTGAGAGGTGAATTTTGAATACCTGCTTTACTATAGAGCAGCTACTTAACTGTCTCCAAAAGCTACCTGAAGAGGACAGTGTAATAAATACAGTCTCATTACTTGGGATCTGGTGGTCCATCACCGAGTGGTTTCATGGAGAGCTTGCACAACGACCTGAACACAAGGAAGGCATCCTTTTGTAGAACATGGGAAAATTTGGCAGCAGCTTGATGTCCAGATACATCTGTTTCCTTGAGAGCAAGAAACACAACATTAGATTCTCAGTGAGACAAAGTAACAGAGCAATTAGGAAGATTCCACAGCTCCTCCGAGAATTAGCTACAGATTAAGAAAATGGTACATTTGGCAAAGTTTAAACTAAACCTAGACAGGACTACAAATGATCTGGATCTTTTCACACATGTTGACTGACTCTTCCCCTCTGCCCCCATCCTGTATTAGAACACAACTAACATAATCAGTTTTAGAACAGCTGTTTTACAATGTCTACTTAAATTGCAGTTACTGCTTCCTTTTCGAACCTGAGCAGAACACATACATTAAAGCTTCTGTCCCTTCCCTCCCCAAAATCCCACTGTATTAGTTGGCATGATAAAAACATTTCTCCTTTCCTAAATATATATTAGCATCCAGTGAAGTTATTTACCAGATTATCAGTGGAGGAAACAGATTGCCCGTCATCTGAAATCCCGTTTGTTTGTACATTTTCATTACTAGAGCCAGAAAGAGTAATATCTGCAGTCTCTGATGCAGGTAGAGCCTTAACTGTTTCTGTTACCTGCTTTTCTTCAGCAGCTAAAGGGGAAAAAGGAAAACTGATTAAAATCACCCATTGAGCTTTTTTTTATCCCATGACTTTGTGAAGCTCTACAGCCAAGTGGGACAGAAGCAGCACTGGTTAACTACATAGTTTCTCAGCTACCAGCAAAAGAAGAATATTGCGAGACAATAAAAAACTGTTCTTACTGCCTTAGTAGGTGTCGTTGAGAAGATTCTTAGTAACAAAAAACCCCAAACATCCACACTTTTATAATCACAAGAATGAAAGTTTGGCAATACACATGCATCTGTTTTACTTCACAAGATTTTGCTACCTTTCACAGCTGACTTGACCACATCTTCCAAGATGCCTTTAACCATCTCCTTTCCTCCATCAGTTGTTTCCTCTAATGAAACACACAAAGAGATAATTTTGGATTTAGTGCTTAGTTTAGGAAGAAGATTAAAAGGAGAAACACGACAGAGGCAGAAGGATTAAAAGTCATAGATTTTCTTTAGTAGTTCTCCTCTAAAACCATTTCCAAGAAGTCATACAAAAATACTCATTGATGTTATTTCCATTGTTTAAATCAAAGCACTGATATTTTTAATGCAGTGAGTTTGTAATTTGTATTTATCAACTGTTCAAACTTTTAGTTTTGGAATATCCTACATTCCTAATTTGGATACAGTATATGAAGACCTTATCATAAGCATAATACACATTATTTTTACCACAGGACTTCAACTACCTCAAAGTGATTCTGTCACGTCCCATGATTATTCTCTTCCTTTCCTTCCCCTTTATCAACCTAATCAAGTCAAATCCCATTATAATTCTATATACATAAACTATATATAGTTTTACTAGGAATTCTAGGGAATTCCCAAGAATTCTAGGGAAAACGTGAGCCTTTCTTCAACGGTTATAATGTTGCAGACAGAAGCTAAGGATGGCCTGTATATTCTGAATAACTACTGAGAAAATCCAAGCATGACTTGAGCCAATAACCCCAGTCACTTGTCCCCAAAACAGCCTAAAAAAGCATTTTCCAATAGAAACACTGTAACTGAAAGCAACAGACACAACCTAGTCTTGTTCACCTGACACTGGAAGAGTCAGATCCTGCTCCAACTTCATGTCTCTGTTTTCTGCCCTCTCAGGCTCACCGTTCGTTAATTCCACGCTTACAGGAGCAGTGGGTTTGCCTTCCTGATAGCTGTGCTTCAACTGACCAATCTTCGGAGACCTGGTCACCACTTGAATTGCAGGAGACTGGGATTTTTGCTGATTTGTTTTTTCTACTTCTCTGGATTCTTGTATCTTGAAAAACCAATATGAAAAAGTTAATCTAAGGCACAAAACATAAGGGAAAACAGATGTCTATGATGACTGATGTTCCTTTGTGAATTCACATGTTAACAAGAAAGAAACAGTGAAAGATATAATCACTTGGCCAGACAAATTAAAAAGATGCATTTCAAGCTTATTTTAAAAGCATCCCATCATTTGTTTATACAAAGCCATTTGGCAGTAACTACAGTGTGAAACCTTGTTATCAGCAATAAGCTTCATTTTATTTTTAATCAGTCAGTATGCTTCACTGAAGGATTTGACAGGTTTTTTTAAATTACAAGTCAATAAATATCCAATTACAATGACAGACCCATTAAAAATAATAATAAAAAAGTTTCCTGTTCATGTGTCAAGCCTAAACATTTGAGATGAGCAAAAGTAAGTTACATACAGCTTGATTTTCCATCCGTGTAAAAATGACATTTAACATCTGCGTAAGGGTAGCTTTGGCAGTTGTCTGATTAATAAGATTTTTACTGGCCAGATAGATGTTGTAACAGGTTCTAACAGTCTGAAGAATTGTTCCTTCATGAATTTCTATATACGGAGACGTTACTGCAGTGAGAAGAGCCTGAAAAAGTCCATAACACAGTAAAAAGTGAAATCTAAGCAAGTAGGTAGCAATACACTTCACGTAGGTCTTCCACAATAATCAGTGGGTTTGTTATGAAACACATCTGTTTATAAGAGGTTATAAGGAACTTCTAGTTCTCTGAAACGACCTTTCAAATTAAAGAAAGTAACAGAACTTCCACATATCTCTCTTCTCTCCTGAGCTGTTAAAGTGTTTTATCACAACTAGTTTTCCACTAATGGAGATATTCTGCCTCCAAACGAAACAGTTATCATTATATTCTATAGCTTCATTTCTATGAAAGGGCCAATTGGTCTACACTGCCATCAAATTAGATTACTAGAAGGTTCACCAACTTCTAACCTCAGCTACGTTAGCCCAAGTAGATTTCAGAACCAGAACACACACCACTGGTACTACTATGCCTTAATATATACTGCAGATCTCTGGAAAAATGGACATAAGAGCAGGCAGGCTAGAGCAGCGGGCCATGATACTGCATCACAGTTACAGTGCCTCCAGTTGAAGGCTGATATGGCCTAATGAATGTGGGCATTACTAGCCTAGAAGATGAACATTGAGCTGTCTGCAAGATGAAATATCCAGGCCATGGCTCATCCCAGAAAGAAGGACAAACATTTATAAAGTATTCCCTTATGTTCTGCTTCACCAAGAGGAAATACATTTCACATACCAATTCTGAGCTGGTGACAGCCTCCCTAAATTCAATGACACATCTAACAGTGTAAGAAATGGAGAAACTGGGCCCTAAATAGTACTTTGCATTAATTTTTTCCAGTTACAAAATCAAAGAAAGCAAATTAATACTGCGCCAAAATGAACCAAATAAAATACCTTAATTATCTGCAGTTGTACTCCTTCATCTGTTTGAGGACCCTGAAAGCAATTGCAAATGGTTTCAACTATTCGGTCAATCAGTCTTTTTCCAGGAGCTCCACTGTCTGGAGCATTGCCGGTGATATGTCCATATGCAATGAGTTTCTAGGTAGAAAGAATGCAGGTTAGACAACCGTATATTGTTATGTAAAATACAGTTAAGTACAGCATAAAAAGGGGGTTTTAGACAGCATACCTCACTTAACCAGTTTTAACACAAAAATTTAACACCGTCAATAGTCTGGCTACCAAATACTTGGACTGTTCACTATATCTGTTTTGTCTAGATGTGCAAGTGATACAGAAGCTTTTTCCACCCAAATCATTTCTTCCTACCGTAACCAGACAAAAGTTTTTAACATCAGTCTTTGGATCTATTAACAACAGAAAGGTTCTGCCCAAATAGTTAGCTGAGATTAAGTTGCATTTGTTTTTTCTGTAAGAATCTAAGGACAAACAAAGTAGAAGGATTCCAGAGTCTGACCTCCCATCACGTCAGCACTACAAGAAACACCATGGTACATATTCCTTTTAGAGCACCACAGGTGAAACATCTTTACTGAATAATGTAAGCATTCATGAGCTTCAGTAAAGGCTTGCTTCACTATAAAACCACACACACACTTCTGACTTTGACAAGACGCGCTTTCAGCCAAGTCTGATGATAACCTATTTTGCACGGTTTGTGCATCTCGGTAGCCATAGTGGGTATCTGCACAGCTGTATGTTCTCAGGACAGTATTACTTCTTCACTCTAGGAATGCCAACAGCACACAAGATTTTTGTAACTGCACGTTTCTCCATTTCACTCTGTCCAAGTTTAAACAGAACACTTACCTGTAAACAATCCAGTGAAGTACTGACAATGCGTGGAGACTTTGACTGGCAGGCCAGTTCAAACGGAAGGAAATATTTATCTGCTTCAATGAAGTTTGCTTTTGGTGGAGCAGCAGTGCCTTCTCTAGGTCAGATAAGAAGAGTTAATTTTTCTAAACATGTATATCACAGCAAACTACACTTTCTCCTTTTCTAAATTTAAAGCTGAATGGTACACAAAAAACCCACTTTACATTTATTTATATCGCATCTGATCTTTTTCATCTTTCGTCAACTTAACTCTTCCCTCACTACACTCCAACACTGTCGCACTACCTGAAATACTGGGCAACTCCTACACAACTTCATGATAAATCTATCAAAGTTATTCTGAATTAAACAGTGCCCATATGAGGAATACTAAGCAAAGAGAAACACATTTGGGGGCTCATTTTAAATCATAGCACAGTGCTGGAAAAGTGCTTTAAAATTTGGATTTAAGTAATATTTAAATTGGTATTCTTGATCTAGGTAGTTAAGAGCATAAACTATCAAACAGAGGATACCTACTGCTCTTTATGATTTCCCATCAGGCTGTATTAAGCCCAGTAAAAGGAAGTGAAAAGCTAGCACCTTTTAGAAGTTTTGCAATTTCTTCATAGTGAAACTCAGAAGGCAGTTATGGCTTGAGTACCCATAGCCACAAACATTGTGTAATTGGAACACACGGGCCGTATCATGTTTTTGGCAGAGAGGTATGTAACTGGGTATTCAAACTCACTGCCATAATGTATATACACTCTTACATTTCCACTATCAAATTATTATTCCACTTGCTGTTTTCTGGCATTTAAGGCAATTAATGATTTACCTTTGCTTTTCCAGCTCCGTTTTTATTTCATCTGGAAGAAAGAAAAAAAATTCAAAACAACACCCAACATACCTTATCGTTATCAGTAACACAAATAAGGAAAATGTAATAAAGCAAAGCTGTTTCAAACCAGAAGTGCCACACTTCAGTATTTGCTATTCCTTTGCTGTGACATCTTCAGCTTCAGAGACTGTAGACAGTTACACTGTTTATTGGAAGGCATATCTCTCAACTACTACATGAAAAAGCTAATTTTTCCAAACATTCTTAACAAAAGATATCTTTAGAAAATACAGGTATAGTATGCAATTTTTATTCAAGAGTAAGTCTACATCAGAGAGCGCTCAGGTCTGCAGAAGTGTTTAAGCCACTGCATAAACCATTAGTTCAATGCATCAGACCTTCCTGGTAACTACAATGCTGGTTAGCCTGCTTTTGTTAAACATCACAATATGACATCAGCTGAACAAACAAACTCCCAGAGATAAGAAATCTTAAATGCATGCTGTCATTTTGCCAGCAGAGCTTTTTCTTTTTCTTTTTTTTTTTAAATTACACTTTTAGGGAGCTTTTCATAAAATTAAATACAGGAAAAAAAAAAGTTTCTTTCTCATTTCTATTGTATACAGCAGCAAATCCCAAAGATCCTAGTATGGCTTTTTGAGGATTTCTAATGTTATCATCATGATGCACAATACAGACCAGAACTGCACTACACCAGTGTCCTGGTTTCGGCTGGCATAGAGTTAATTTTCTTCCTAGTAGCTGGTACAGTGCTGTGTTTTGGATTTAGTATGAGAACAAAGTTGATAACGCACTGATGTTTTAGCTGTTGCTAAGCAGTGCTTACACTAGTCAAGGACTTTTCAGCTTCCCATGCTCTGCCAGCGAGGAGGTGCACAAGAAGCCAGGAGGGGGCACAGCCAGGACAGCTGACCCAAACTGGCCAAAGGGCTATTCCATACCATATGACGTCATGCTCAGTATATAAGCTGGGGAAAGCTGGCCGGGGGGGGCCGCTGCTCAGGGACTGGCTGGGCATCAGTCGGCAGGTGGTGAGCAATTGCATTGTGCATCACTTGCTTTGTATATTCTTTTATTATTATTGTTATTATTATTACTATTTTATTTCAATTATTAAACTGTTTTTATTTCAACCCACGAGTTTTCTCACTTTTACTCTTCGGATTCTCTCCCCCATCCCACCGGCGGGGGGGTGGTGGGGAGAGTGAGCGAGCAGCTGTGCGGTGCTCAGTTGCCTGCTGAGGTTAAAGCACGACAGCCAGACACAGCATAAGCACATACTGTGAACACTGACAAAAAAATATCAAAAATAGCACACATAGTAAGGCTGCACAGCTACAATCATTTGTAACACCACGTGGAATCCTGTCCATCCCACCCTATGTCACGTGCCTGCAAATTATCATGCCCACAAAACTTGTTTCAATTGTGAAGTTAGCAGAAATGGATCATTCACTCAATACTTGTTCTCCACAACTCCAGAGAGGCACCATTGTTTGGGATTAGATGTTCAGAGTTCAGATTATTTCAGTGCTGTTCGTGAACCTCAATAATTTCTTCTGTCTCAGAAGCATCAATAACAAAACCTACTAATGAACAAGGACTGCAACAAACACATATTACAGTTTTTGCACTGTCCTATTGTTCAATGAATTTTACAAGAATTAATCCTCGCAGAGTACACCTATTTTGTAACATTACTATCCCTATTTTATAGAGAAAACGGAAGCAAAACATGAAGGAAAACTGTACAACTACAAGCTGTGAGTGATAACCTACATACAGGACTGGGACTTGTTATTCTGTCTGCCATACTCTGTCATTAATGCCAACACAGTCAGCAGTCAAGTAAGAAGCAGTCTGACATCCATTAGCAATAAATGGTGTAACAAGAACTGAAGGAACATTATCCACCCTATAGTCAACAAAAGAATAGACCACATCAAAATTGAAGAGTCACAGGCCCACAATGCGTCATGGCTCTGTTCAGAAGCCCACCATTTTCTAATCAGGTCCATCATGCAAACAACCATGCCTGGTACTTTTAAAGGAGAGAGAATTTTCACTTGCTGGTATTGCACAAGCCAGCAGCAAGGCAATGAGCTGAGCCAAGCGCATAGCCCCAGTGACTGGGATTTCAGAATGAGAAGTAATTTTGCAGCTCTGCTACAGTGCAAACCCAGCGTCGTCATCTCCTAATACTTCAGGCTTCAACTGATAAGGGGAGTCAACAGAACGGAGACTGTTGATAAGAAATAACCAAGGTTTCCCATGCCAAATAGACAGACAACGTAAATCTTAACATAGCACCACTTCTTGGATCACTGTTTCCTTCATTCCGGTGTCCAGTTGGTTTATCAACAAGATGGCTAGTCAGAAGTTCAATTCAGCAAAATTCGAATTCAGTCCTCTTGATTTTATTAATTTCTCCATCTTTAACACCACATTATGATCCACAGAGCTACTGAGAACAACATACACTAAAGGACCCACCAATTTATTGTGTCCCTATTCAATCTGTCTTATTATTAGAGCACTGTATTCCTGTTGCCTATAGAACTGGCTGCTTAAAACAGAGTTTTCTGGGCAGCTTTACATGTTCAGAACACTTAGTCCTGTCTCCAGGTCTTGGCAGAGAAAGGCATATTTTAGCTATAGCCAGAATCTCAAGTACAGGAGGATGCCAGAGTGGTCAGCTATAACACAGTTAATGCTGTATTTCAGACACCCTGCAGAACTAGGCTTTACAGTGGTTTTTTTTAACAATTGGGAATACTCAACACTCTCTGAACTAAGTTTATTTTTGAACAGTCTTTCTGCTTTGTAAGTTAGCCAAGTGGTCCTCCTTGCACTAAAAATGATAATTTGTTTCATTAAAAAAAAAAAAGGCTTCCTTGATTTGATAATGTTTTGGTCAAGTCAGACTAGACACCTTTCGAACACCTCACAGGTATTTCTATAGCACATGAAATAGAAAGCTATTTTATGTATAAAAGGGTTGCTGCAAATTTTTTTCCCACTGGCAGATCAATAAAGTGACTATCATCAGAGATACAATAAAAAAAATAATCCGTATTTGATACATTTAACTCAGTGAATGTGAGTTTTCCTTAGGGGCTTCCTTGTCTGCACACTTACCCAATTCCCACTCCTCCTCAGCAGCTGCCACTTCAGAAGTTGTGGACAAGCCTAACTTTTGTGATCTTTGAGTTGAAACTGAAACCTGTTCAGTGCCCACTAGTCTGGCCAACCTATTACTCAAAACTTGTCTCAGTTCGTCTAGTTCAATTTTGGCACCCTTCTTCCCATTGCACCCAGCTGCTGGCAGAAGGAAAGCTGAACATCATACATACCATCTTCATTCCGTCATACTGTTTTGTGGGAGGTGGACAGGGAGGGCTTGTTGGGAGATCCATTGGAGCAGGGGGGTCCAAAATAAAAATTCCTCGCCTAAAAACCGTTTGTTAAAAAAAATTCAAACTACAGTAGGAATATTATAGCAATGAGTCCACCCAAGAAAATAAAAAGGTTATTTTGTAAAATTTAATACCTTACAAGAAAAAAGTTTTGTTGTTGGGATATGTTATTCTCAGCTACAGAAGTGCTCACTTCCACATTTAGTGTGTAACCAAGTAATGCTATTTTTTTCTGAATCTCTATATCCTACTGAAATAATTTCTCTTTCTTTCAAAGAGATCACTTTCCCCCATACTGTTTGTTAGCAAAGCAGTACAGCAAAAAAAGTTTTGAAACGAACTTCATGAAGATTTTAGCCTTAAGGAGGCATGATCATGCCCATCTTTACTGATAGTTACATTAGATCTTGCATGGGAAAAATATGTAAGAATAGCATCCCATATTAGAGCAACGACAATTTCACTCTCAGAAATACTCCATAAATTTAAAATAAAATAAATAAATCTAACCAAGGCCTGACCAAGTTCCCCACAATTCTATTATATAAAGGCTTTTCTAAAGCCATATAAACACATCTGCACCACAACAGTATTTTAATAAATAATGCTGGCAGAAAAGAATAAATGAAAGGACAAAAGCAAGTTACAGGCATGCCTCTGCTACTGATTGCATCAAAATAGTTTGGAAATCTCCATATCTGAAGCGCTCATTTGGTGGTCTGACCACCAAAAGTGAGTGAAACAGAAATTGTTGCCTAATTGAAGTCTGTTGCCATGAACAGTTTGCCAAGCCCCGACCAGGCACAGCCAGCTTCCAGGAACCTACTGCCACTGTCACTCTCCTCCTCCAGTCACAGGATTAAGGGGCACAGCTCAATTCCCTTCCACAGCTACAGAACACAGTCTGAATTTTGGTCAACGTCTGGTCATCACAGCACAATAGTGACCCCTCACTTGGTGCTTTCGGTACTAGAGCTGCCTGGTACTTTCAAGGCCAGAATGTACTGGCATACATTGCATCCACTTCAGTCAGAGACATCTTCAACTCTGGGCACTACGCGTGCTGCCCACTCAACGCAAGCCTTTCAGCATTCCTATCAGGCAACACAACTGGAATAACAAGCAAGGCCTTGCAGCAATTTCTTCCAGAGCTTCTGGCCATAATAAAAGCAGGATGAAGCTCATGCTGAGAGCAACTACTGTTCTATATTAGATGGATGGTTTAAGTCTGCTTGTATTGAAAGCTATATATTAAAATGGAAGAAATAATTGCCTGCCTGCATCCTATGTTAACGTACAGCCAAGTTTGTCTCAGTGGAAGCAAACTAGTTCCTGTGCAGAAAATGGCATAGCTTGTGTTAGCCCAAGGACACGAGCAATGTCTTTCCATAGCTTGTCAGAACACCAGACAGCAATGCCAATACAAACACATGGAGCAGCAGCAAAAGCTTCCCTCCCCCAACCCAGTAAAGTCTACTGCATTGCCTAATTCCAGGCTGCCTTAAACTTAAATCAAAAAAACAACACCCCGCATTTATTGATTCTATCGATCTACAGAGAACCCTTTAGAAAAGGCTGCCATAATG